AGCGCGGTTAATCGCGAAACCGGTTAATCGCTGCATCCCTAATACCACTGAGGTGAATTTCAACATCTAAAGCAGAATCTTCCAAGAAGAGTGTAAAGCCCAAAGTATACTTAGTTTTTAATGCTAGTGTATGCACACAGCCTTTCAAAGTGTACTCCATTTGCTAGCACACTAGCTACATGCGCTTTAAAATAGAAAGGTTTCATCCTTGTTCAGTCAGTGTCTGTGCTATTTCTCTACAGAAGTTTGGAATGATAAAATGTGTGTATCTCTTAACCTCCTAATACAAGCGCTTGTCAACACGACCGTCTGTTGTTTTATCTCAACTCAAGTATAAATAATAACAAAGTCCGGTCCTGTTTGACGAACCACATTTTTTTAAATAGATAAATAAATAAAAATAGTCAAAGTGCATGAGCGTTCAGAGTGTGCACAGTTAGAAAAACACATACTCGACAGTGCATAATACAAAATATTATTTTCATGTAGGCACTTATACTTGAACTAATAAATTTACACTACACTAAATACAATTAAAACAAATAATCCCCAGATTAAAAATATAACCGAGTCAAAGACATAGTGATAAACTAAATATTCTGTTAAAAAAAAAGTTAAATGTCATACTTGAATGGGAGTTGTTTTGAATTTTTGAACCAATTCGCTAGAATGAGTCAGATTTTCCAGTTCTACATATGAGAGAAAGACTGTGAAGTGTGTTTGATTTATCAGTTTTCTCGGCAGTAAAATTGCATGTGCAAATCAATATTATATATAAACAGCCATGTAGTGTTTGGTTATGCTACAACACTAATTGCTGGAAAACCTTTTTTATTGCAAAAGCTACTCTACACTGTTTGAAAACTGTAGTTAGTATCACTGATCAGCAACAATGATCATGAAGTCTTTAAAATAGTCTCTTAATTTTCACCAATAACTCTTGGCTTTGTGTTACAGAGTCGAGTTTTAATGGCTCCTGTGAGAACTTTCCAGCTCTTGAAGAGCCTTTGATGTGTGTCTCATGTGGTTTTATATTTCTGTCCCTCTCCTTTTATCATTTTATCTCTATATTTTTCTGTGATGTTCTCATATAGTAATGATTTTAATCTCCAGTGAGTTGAAAATATGACTGGAATGCTGCAGTACATGTGGTGCATTAAGACGCTCTAATGCAACATCTTCTGAAGAATTAAAGTGTACGGTCACAAGATGAGAAGTCACTCTGGAAATCATGTTGTAATACAGAAGAAGTTGCAGGGAATTTTGCTGGGAGTGTATTAATTTGCCTTCAAAAGTGAAGATCTTCTCAAAAGAGTATTAGAAGACAAGCTCCTGTAGTCCTCCTCTGCAGTATCATGCTAAACCTTCAGCTGAGGCTCATGTGTGCACACTCAGTCTTTGCAGATGACCCTATTGAGGAATAAATGAGGCAAACAGGAAAATGACATCAGTTTAAAAGTGTCTCGCTTTTCAAACAGCATTTCCTCAAGTTTTTTGAGTGAGGTTATTGAGGTATTGAGTATCGACCAGAGTGAAAGCAGTTTGGAACAGGATTTTTATTTTCTGGTTTGATCTTATCTAACAACTCAACAGTATTGTTTGACTGAACGTTAGGGCTAGAATCACTCTGTGTCTGTGGTGTAGATGTGCATCAACAAGCAGAAAGTCTGCTATGCTATTTTTAACACATTATGTCCGTGATGCAATTTTCAGAAAACCTGTTTGAAAACAATCATCACCAAAAATAACACTCAGCTTTGAAACACTTTAGTGATGAAAATTAAAATGTTTTCCCCCAACACAAGTTGTAATACATAATGCCATCCCAAACAAAACTGGGTGGATTCTAGACCCTAAATCATGTCAGTACTTCTGCAAAAAGCATCAAGTGTTTCAAAGCCATTGAGCAACTGCTAATTTGCTAATTTATGCCCATTCTGCTAGAGCTCCATGAACACGCAACCTGTTCTCGTTTTAATTGTCTGTCTCAGCCCATCCAATGGGAAAAATAAGGAGCCAGAAGTTAAAGGATAACATAGATAAGCTTGACAGAAGGAAATGTGAAGAATAAATCATAGGGAGTATGACATTATGAAATGGAGTGAAACAAAGTAAGAGAGAGAAAACATTTGCTAGCAGAAGCAGCAAAAGGTAGAGGGTGAGTAAAATGAATGTGTTCGCTTGGGCTGTTCATGGCTTGCTTTTACTGGCAGTGATAGGAGGATGCTCTGCTTAAGCCTAGCAGTAAAACATCTCATTAACAGCAGTGAAAACGAGCTTATTTGGAAAGACCATCCAATCCTCAGGCCTCCATCAACTCGCTGACTGTTTAAAGTGCTCTTAATGAAGTGTGTGTTTCAAACATCTACAGTGAATTTAGTTTGAAGCGGAAATAGTTCAACAATTAAACCAGATTGCATTTGTGGCCAGAGTGAATGCATTTCCTTAATTGGTGAGCTTTTTCTTTTCCTATACAAATGAGAGACTACGAGCACAGTGGGTGTTTATATAACAGAATATCCAAGAAATAAAATAATAGTAGTTTCCCGAAGAGATCTTGGCTTCCTGAGGAATAAGAAAAGCGAGTTTGACTGAGGTATCGTGAAGACGTATAGTACCGACTCTGAATCAGGCCCTTGTGTGGCATTCCTTCCTCATGAAACTATAAAGAGCTTTCCGTACCAAACATATGCCAGGGATTCATTTTAAGATAAATAAATGTTTTCAGACATGTGGTGCTTCCTGGTCAGAGGTTCTACTGATGTATTTAAACAAGACTGTGTTGTCTTTTCTCTGTCAGATTTAATCAATTTACATTAACACTCGGTCAGCCTTCTGCATTTTGTTAAATGCATTGCTGTCTGCAGTTCCAGCGGAGGAAATAAATGGCAGTATTGAGGGGATTCCAGTCCGGATCTTTCTGCTTGTATCAGTCTGTTAGATTTACTCCTGAGTTTCACAATAATTTGAGGAATTATTTTCTTTTGAAGGAAGTTTTAAGTTTATCCAGCTACCTTATCAAATCAACATACTGTATCTGATGTCTAAAACCTGCTTGTGTCTCCTGGTTTATGCCAAATTTATCCAGAAACTAACTTATAAAGCCATACTCAAAGAAAGTGACCCAAATAAACGGTGAAGTTTTGAGGAAGCTTTTAACAATGTGTTTTAGTTTGCTAATATGCATACTAAAATAAAATGCCTTGAACTAATGTTTGTCTCTTTTCCCACAGACCTGCTCCTCCCACTCCTGGTCAGACCAATGGAATCACAGAGCAACTGGTTGGCCGCTTCCAGGTCAGTAAAAAAAAGCAAAGAAAAAAAAGCAAATATTATAGGGAAAGTTCACCCCAAAAATGAAAATTGTCATTGACTCACCCTCATGTCATTGCAGCATGACTTAACTACTTCTGTGGGGAAATAAAAAAAGTAAATTTTTTTTGTCCATACAATGGAAGTCAATGGAGACCAAAACTCTTTGGTTTCTCCCCAACATTCTCTGCAGAAAAAAAGTATGTTGTACAGGTTTGAATTGACACACAGGTTAACGTTTGTCTTTTTTGGATGAACTATCCCTTTAACTGCAGATAAATGCAAAGAGACTGTGCTTATGATCAGTAGCTGAAAGAATTGTATTAAAAATAAAATATTTTTAATTTATCTAAATATAATTGTTTTTCAGGCACAGATTTCATATCAATTTGTTAGTTATTTACCTATACGTTTGTTTCCCTTAATTCTGAATGTTTGCTTACGTCCTTGTCTTACTGTATATTATATGTTGCATTATACAATATTTTACTCTAGATTTCAAAAGTTTGGTGTCAAAATATAAGTATAAATATATTTACAGTATAAATAATAGTAATGATTTGATCATTTATAATAAGAGATGTTTCTTGAGCAGCAAATCAACACATGAAGGATCATGTCACACTGAATGCTGGAGTAATGATGCTGAAAATTCAGCTTTGCATCACAGGAATAAATTACATTTCAACATACATGAAAATAGAAAGCAGTAATTTTCGATTTAATATCTCACAATATTACTGTTTTACTATATTTTTGATCAAATAAATGCAGCCTTGGTGAGCATGAGAGACTTTTTTCAAAAACATTAAAAAGTCTTGCAGATATTACAATAAAGTACTAGCAGCATATGCTTATTTACAAAATATTGCTGCAAGAAGCAACAAAACCGCAGTCTGTCGCTGTTGCAAGTCTGTGGTGAGTGTGCTGCCCCACTGAACTGCTGGCCCGAGGCTTAGTGTTCAATTCTTTTCTCAGATTTGCAGTAGAGCACGCCTGGTATCCATTAAGAGAAGATGAACATCTATCTGCTTATCAGAGATTTATAGTTTGTCAGGTTGAGCTCAAATAAGACATTTGAGTCTGTATATCCCATTTTTTCGTTTTCTTTACAACAATAATTATGCATGTCTTTATCCATGACATGTGAAAGGAACTTGGGAGTGTTATAAATCAGACAGAGTTCCTGCCTTTTAAATGCTAAAGGGACTGCTGGCGGGTCTCTGTTGTAACAGATACTATGATTGGAAGGGTTGTGAGCCCCACAGGTCTCGTAGTCCTTCTGTACAACTGTGTGAGAACTTGTGAAGAAGGAGAGTTTAAGAAGTTGTTACCACATCTTAAATTTGAAAAATGTAACATCTTATGCGAGATTTTGTTGTGTGTTTTTTTTTTTATTATTGTATTTTATTGTTAAATTTTTATTACAATTTTTATTGTGCAGGAGGCTGTGCAGGTGAGTCGAGATGAGAACCAGAACTACAGAGAGTACACCATCTCCAGCCCAGCCTCTCTGTCACCTGGCCCATATTCACCGGAGCTGCCATCTAGCCCCGACCACAAAGGGGGCAGAATCACACCCACTAGTAAGAGGTACGACTGCACAACTTTACTGCTCTGTTGAGGTTTGCTGCTGTCAGATTGATGCAAGGACATGGATGATGTTTGTACAATGGGATTGCCTGCTGGCAATGCTTTGAGCAAACATTTCATTAGATAGATGTTTGGTTTTGCACCTTGACACACTAATGCTTTAAATAAGCAGCCTGTTATCTCTCTGTGGTCTGTTAGTGTTATTGATAATGTAAAGAATAGCACTGTATTAGAATTTATGTTCCATGAAGATTCTGGGAAATTGTGTTCCAGCACACAGCTGATGTCTTCATGACTGATGCCTCATACTGAACCTTTATTGACTTTATTACCTTAAATGTTCAGCTGTACAAACAGAGAAAGAATTTCTGTAACAGAAGTGTTTAAGAAAATATTCTCCATTCATTTAGAGTAGATTATGTGTGTTGGATGACTGAGATAATTTGATGTTAAGCCTATCAGCAAACATTTATTTTTCTTTTTAAAAACAAAGAGATATTTAGCAGAATGTACAAGCTTCTATAATATACATACCATGAAAGTGGATGGTGAGCACAATGTTTAAGCTCCAGAAACACCATAAAAGTCCATATGACTTGTATGTGAATGCCAAGTCTTATGCAAGTCATTATTGACTAATAATTCTTTGGAAACTTTGCTTGACAACATTGGTCATTCTTCACTTTCATTGTATGGAAAACTGCAGCTTGGCTATTCTGCAATTTAAATTTTTAGGTGAAGGTTTTTAAGGTGTAAGTTCCAACAAAATAGATGAAGTTGCATGCAGTGCAGTTTTAAATGCAACTGACTAAGGGAACTTTGATTAGAGCTGAAAGTTATTGTACAGGATGCATGTTAGGCTCCTCATACATTATTGGAAAAACCTGATACTGTACACTACTGTTAACATTTGGGGTTTGTAAGATTAAATTTTTTGAAAATGTTTTTGAGAGAAGTCCCTTGTGCTCACAGACGTTTCATTTATTTGGTCAGTAAAAACAATTACAGTAAAAACAGTAATATTATGAAATGTTATTTTCTATTTAAATATAAAAAAGTAATTTGTGATGCAAAAATAAATTTATCATCATTACTCCAGTCTTCAGTGTCACGTGATCCTTCAGAAACCATTATAATATAATGTTGTGCTGCTTCATATTTTTGTGAAAACTGTAATGTATTTTTTCCAGAGTTCTCTGATGGATAGAAAGGTCAAAAGAGCAGTATTTATTTGAAATAGAGGTCTTTGTCTCTTGTAACATTATTATTGTATTAACTGTCACTTTTGATCAATTTAATGTGTCCTTGCTGAATAAGTGTTATTATTCTTAAAAATAAAATCTTAACTCACCGGACTTTTTAATGTATATTATACAATAGTTATTGTAGAGGTAACTGCCTGTGGCTCATGATTTACATATTTTCATCTTGACAGATCTGTATAGTTTCACATTCTTATGTTTGCTTCTGTTGAGTTTCTTGGTCCATTTCTACTTGCCATCTGAATCTATAAAAAAACCCTCAAACTGTATGGCTCAAGTTCATGTAACTGCAACCCATTTCATGTCAGTTGTAGTTTGCTTCAAAACATGTTTGAATTCAACACCAGTTCAGAAATGTCCCATGGTCTGCACTTAAAAAAATGTAAAGCTTATTAAAGCTAAATATTTCTTTATTTTTCAGCCTCAAGCTTCATTCTTGGCCCTCAGAGGAGAAGAACATACAGAGTCACAGACTGTCCCGACCCCTGTCTCAGGTATAGTCACTCTTATATACAATATAAACCTGAAGAACAAATGAACCAATAAATCCTCCATGGAATGGTTTGACAGGGGTTCTTTTGTGTTGATGTATGACCTATTGAAACAGAAGTCAGGGCGGCACATTCTGAAGAGCTCGTTCTTGTTTTAAATAGCAAGTAGCCTTTACACAAGAGATCTGGAGCGCTGATTGCTGGATGTATTTTGTTGTGAAAACCAGAGGGTTCTACTTGTACCGGTTTCAATTAGTCGTGAAAAAGACAATAAAACCATGTCCTAACCAAATGCAATGTGACTAGATATAACCATATTTGTCTGAACCAGCCGTGACTGAACAAGCAACAAATATCAGAACTTTTTGTTGATTGCTTGATTAACCCTCATAATGTGTTTTGGTCATTTTGACCCTGAGAGGATTTTTTTTCCCCCCTAGAAAATGCTAGTTAATATTATCACATTGGACTTAAACCTACAGACTTTGCTCACACAGGGTTTAACAACTTCTCAAATAATCAATAATTTTGGTACTTTTGGGGGATTTTTTCCCCATCTTGTTGCACTTGTGATCCAAAATAATCTAAAAAAATTATTTATTTAAATTAGCACAGGTATGCATTTCTTTTTGGAACTTGATAGATTGTAGGCCTCATTGATCTGAGCTTATGCTTTTTTTCCCACTCAAAAACTTGAGGTACTACCATTAATCAGTTCAAAAACAAAATGCGAAACCTGTGCTAACTGAAAGAAAACAAGATGTCAAAAGGATTGAATCCAAGATTTGGGGATAATGTAGCATAAGGAGAGATTTACAAGAAGATTTTAAAATGCCACTCATTTTTGCCTGGGAAAACCAAATTAGGTAAAGGATATTTAACACAGGACAAGGGTTAAGGAAGTGCATCATCTTAGCCTTATCTTTGTTTTTGTTTTTTTTGGATCAGATGTCTTGTACTATTAGAGTATGTTTTATAAGCCAGTAGCATTTATAATTAAGTATGATGGGATGTTCTCATTCTGAAAACTATTTTTTTGGAAAAAAATATGCATATGCCCATACAAACAAGATGATTGAGATGTCAGTATTTTTGGTGTGTTTTCTAGGAAGATAAATTGTAAATGTATATGACTGCTTAAAGTTTATTTTTTAGTTTGTGTTCAATTTTTATACTCCATGTGAATCAGTACTGAACATATTACAGGTTGTCAAAAACGAGCAAGTGAAGTTGGAGGGATGAGGGCTGGTAAGTCTCAATGTTGATGGGATCTGCAGCAGAACATTGATGTTAGTTCTGCCTAATGCATTGGAGAAGCCTTCATATGTGTTCATGTTCGTAGTACATGCTCACGGAAGAGGATTGCTTTGCTCTACTCCTGAAATGTGGCTCATAAATCCCTTTAGTCTCAGCCTATATATGACTTCATGGGAAAAGCAGGTTCTCAGTGGCACAAATGAACTCTGATGCCGCTTCACAATGAGCTCCAGGATCGCATTCTCAGGAAATGAGATTATGATTTCCATCCGATATTATACCGTTCACAATAAAAGGGTTAGCATTTCCAATATTTTCGTAGCGGGCGGTGAGTACATAAACTTTGAAAAGGTCACCTCTCCATGCTGATGTTCATGGGAGCACAACCTGGAAATGGTTAATTTAGAACATTATTGAAACAGTACGGTTGACCTTTCTTGTAGCTTCTTTTAACCTCGGGTTTATTACAAGATCTTCATCATTGACTCTACAGATTCTGTAGCATCTGGGGAGATAAAAAACTGGAGAATGGGCAATAATCTGAAGGGAAAGCGCTCCAGAGCCTGTCCCAAAAACTAAAATTGAGCAAATGAAGTTGTGGGAAAGTTATTGCAAGATATGTCAGCTATTTAGTAACGGGCTCAGTCCCACAGAAGTTTCTACAAGGCAGATGTCAGAGCAGGAAAAAACAGGCCGGACCTTTGATGGCTGAAGACATTCCAGTCATTTTATCAGTGCTGTGGTTGTTAAAAAAACACATTCATGACACAGCTTATTAAACTCAATAACATCCCAATTCCCCTGTCAGAAACGCTTGGTCCTTTTAAAGATCAGCATTTGAATACTTCTGACCGAAGCTCATGGGATGTCTGGGAGAAGTCAGCATCATGACAGTGACACTGAGCATTGGCCTTTGTCAACAAAAAAATCTCAATATAGATGTATTATGCTGTGAAAATGTCCATGCAAGACTAGGCGGGGAGAAAGAATGAGATGAATGGTTCATCCAAAAATGATAATTCGATAATTTCCTTGTCCTCCTTTAGCTCAGAAGGAAAGATTATCTTGTTTGGACTTTTAAAGCCCTGATAGCATGGATATTTCCAAGACATCTAATCGATGGGAGTTTTCATCCGGACGCTAGGCGCTGTCAGATGTTTGCAATATTTGTGCTATAGAATGTACGTGCATCTGCTTTTCTTAAGATGTTTTTACACACAACACTTTAAATGAATCACAATATAACTAAAATTGTAATATGCCTTTCATACGTATTTCATAATAACTCTGTAACAGCATAATAATAACAGTGTGGACTCAAGTCCGGACAAGACCTGGAAAGAAGACCCTCTCAAGTCTGAGTCCAAGACCATATTTTCTGTGACTAGACTAGAAACTATTGTCTTGGACTAGGACTTGTGAGTCCAGTCTGGTCCAGACTTTAGTTCTGCAACACTAAATATAAAAGGAAGAACTGTGTAATTGTCTTTTTTTTCTATTTTTCCTGAATATGAGATGTTTGTCTCATTAAAGTTTAGACCACATTAAATGACAAAATAATTGCAATATGATTTTTGTTGGCCCAATTGTGCAGCCCTAATCATACATTCTCTCGCAGACATCCCACCAATGCACGTGCATACAAGGAGAGTGTGGTGTAGACTGAGCCTTAACCATCATGTTCAAGACACCCTACTTGCATGCCACTTTCAAAGTATGAAATATCTTAGCCATTATTTTGACCCACAGACATCCAGCTTTTGGCCTCCCAATAAATCTAAGCCCACCATCCAGTTAACCCTGTTAATTTACTGCCGACACCAATCCAGTCCAAATTAGAGTCATCACCTTCTGTTCTCAATCTCTCTCCGTGCAATCTAAACACATTTCTCATTCTTTATTCTTTCGCAGGCTCTTTCATAACATGTATGTTACGGGGTTCAGCAGGATCTGTTTTTTAGATTGTTTCAGTACAGCATACAGTTTTAGTGGAGGGATAAATGTTTGACATGCCTAGAGTTAGCCATGCCAAACAATGGATTAGATATATAAAGGAAAGTTCTGGATTAAATGATGCTTAAAGGCAGGAACAAGGAAGCAGCCAATGAGGTGTAGCAGTAGGGTTGATTTGCTGCCACATCTGTGGTCAGAAATGCTGGACACACAAACATGCACATAAACAGTCGGCTTGCTCTTTACTTCAGTGGCTTCAGAGTCTTTTATGTTCGTCTGTCATGAGGGTCTGTTATGGGGGACTCTGGTGTAATTGTGGTTTTTGTTAGATCCCAGAAGCCACTTTGGTGCTAGAGAGGGTTAGGATCTTTCCCTCAAATATTTCTGCTGGAATTTTAAGATCCGTTCAAGCTCTCTCTTCGTTTTTCATCCTCAAACTGGAATCCCTTCAGTCCTGCTCCTTCCTCTCTTCTTCTTCAGAGAACACTTGCATTCTTTTACTCTTAGTTGTCTCCAGCACTTAACATAGAGCGTCTTGGCATGATGTCTTGTTAACCTACACACACATACATACACACACGGGAAAGGTTGTCGAAGGTGACATTATTTTGGAATTGTGTGGCATGATTGCTGAAATGGTTGATTCTTTTTGTGTGGTTTGGCTGTAGAGGTTAATGGAAAGCACAATATGTTCTCAAAACTGAGTTTTCTTTCTCTGTACTTACAAGTACTTGCATGTTCCCAGAAGTCATCAGTTGTATAGAATGAAAGTAAACCAGTACATCTGACACTGAAACCATAGTTTGAAAATGTGTTTTTTGCAGTTACTTTAATGTACTTAAATACAGTAGCTTAGGTGTTTTTTTTTTTTTTTTACACAGAAAATATTTTGAAGAATGTTGGTAACCAAACAGTTGGTGGTCCTCTTTGACATCCATAGAATGGAAAAAAAAATACTATGCAAGTCACTGGGCCCCAGAAACTGTTTGGTTAACAATATTCTTCAAAATGTCTTTTATGTTCAGCAGAAGAAGGAAACATACAGGTTTGAACAACTTGAGGGTGAGTAAATTTCAGAATTGTCACCTAAGCTACTGTATTTAAGTACATTAAAATGACTATCAAACTAATTTACATTAAATGCAATAAAACATTTATTTTAATGAATCAAAAAGAGATAAACAGCTCTATTTGAGAGGATAGTTAGACAAAACAGTCATCGTCTTTTTCTACTGTGGTTTTTATTTTTTATTTATTTGTATTTTTACAATTTTACTTTAAATTATTTTAAAATTTTCAATGTTTTCTCTAGAAGTGGATGGAACTTAATGCACTAAAAGCATTAAAAGAATGCTAGGTGAACCATTAAGGAACTGAAATCACTAAGTTTAGGGATCACAATATATCGTACCATTTGAGTTAATGAAAATATAAAAAATTGTATTAGAAATAGTGTCATCTCAGTCTTATAAAAAGGGACTGTTAGAGATTGCAAATGTCTCTGTATTGGGGAATATTAAATATTTTTTATGCTCTATTTCAGCTATTTTTAAATATAGAGTACCTTTGCCACCATCTAATGCTTAAAGTAAATTTTTAGTTAACACTCATATCACCACTGTTAAATGTAATCTATGGCAAATTTCAATGAATATCCATTTTAATACTGTGCATTTGTGATGTTGTGATACCTGAATTCACTTTAAACAACTGAGCTACTGTCACGCAACTGAAAAACTTAGGATGGTAGTGTCTCTACTTTTAGTTAGTTACTCCACAACACTGTCTGTCAC